TTTGCGTAAATTTATGAATTTTTAACATTTCTTTCGAATTTATATAAAAAAAAATTATGATATGCAGTTTTTCTCAACAAAAAAATATAAAACAAATACTAAGATAATTCTCCCTTCTAAAAAAAATTATTAAGATAAGTCACTGAACTACTAAAGAAGCAGTAGGAAATATATACATATACAAATGACTAATTCGATTAACACATAAATCATATTGGCATAACAATTGATCAATTTTATTCATAAGTAAATTATTAAGTAAAGTAACAATTTTAAATGATATGAAAAATATTTTTCAGTTAACCATTTTGTTAATAAATAAATTATTAAGTCAATCAACAATTTTTCATGATATGAGAAATATTTTTTAATAAAAATTTTTGATAATTTATTATTGCATAGGAAAATAGTTTTTTTTTTTCCTTGAGTATTTTGTTAAATTAAAATTTATAATAACCGATAGTTGTAATTTCTAATATTATAGGACCAATTCATATTTTAAATAAACTTTATGTGTATTTGTAATTTGTCAAAAACTGAAATATTTATGTTTCATAATTGACTAAGAATGTTTGCATAATTACGAAAAATCCTATTTCATTATTGACAAAGAATGTTTGCGTAATTACGAAAAAACCTATTGCATTATTGACTAAGAATGCTTGTGTATTACAAAAAGACTTTCACTCAACATATAAGTCACTATTAGTAAATTATTCAAACTGAATGGGCAAAATTGGAAAGAAAAGATGAACCTCAAGTAGCTAAGCGCCCCATATATATAGATATAAAGATATAAATTCTATAATACACGGCTTTCTATATATATATATCACTTATTATTTTGATTCTGGACATATAGTGATGCTTTAATTTGAATTTCATTGATTAAGATAGCTTGGATTAAACACATTTTGTGATTGTTAAGTTGTATTTGAATCATAAATTTGGGTAGAAATTTAAAAAAGTAAAAGTAAAAGAAAAGAAAAATTATAGTTGCCCAGATTAAGACCCGATCCTTTTATACTCTTTGGTTGTAGGTTTTGAATCTATTGGTGCTGTAGACATCTATTCTAGTCATAGGTTACCTTTGAATTGTGAATTTAATCTTTAGGTTATGTTTTGAAATAGGTTGGGTTTAGGATTTCTTGGGAGGTTTTGGCTCTGTGAACTTGAGTTCACTCCAGCGGTGTTTTGGTCGCTCGAGTGGGCTTTTTTTTTTTCTCCTAATTTTTGAGTTCGCAATTTGAATTTATGGGAGCAGAGCTTTTTTCTCTCGAACGGTGTTTTGTTCGCTCGAGCGGTTTGTTTGTATAAAACTGCGAGGAAAGATCTTTTTACTCACTTTTTCTGACTTGTCTCTCTACATAAAATATATAAATCCAATTTCTCTCATCTCTCTCTAAATTTCTTGCCTTTATGATCTACTTTAATTTGTGAATCTCACCACCATAGTGCTTTGTGATTAAAGGTAGAGCTTGAAGAGGGGGTCATTCTAATCTGAAAAGTTTGAGTTTTCGTCTCTGTCAATTTTGGGTATTGTTTATCTCTTCTCATTGCTTTGAGATTGTGATTTTCTTAATGGTGTGCATATTATTTAGCTTTGTTATATGTTATTCTTGATAGTTAAGAGTTTTCAAAAAGTTAGGTTTTGGTTATATTTTTATAAATGCAATAATTTGGAGAAAAACTCTTGTTTTCGGTTGTGGTTTGAAATTGGTACGCTCATGATGGTTGTATAAAGAAGTTTTAAGGAAAATTGTGTTTTTGAAACGAACGCCCAAAGTTTTTTATTAAACCTAGGGTGATTGGAATTTTGGAAAATTGGTGTGGATTTACCAATGTTGTTGAATCATTAAGGAAGGAGGTGTTCTATTTTCAAAAGAGGACTTGGTTGGGAATGTTTATAAACCCGTTGGAACTGTTGAGTATTGATTACTCTTTTTGAAATGTTGAGTTTGTTGGGAAAACTATATAAATGTTTTTGGAAAATTGAATATTAATGTTGAGATTCACAAGACTCGTAAGGAATGCGAATGTTGTTTATTGGAATCGTGAGATTTTGGGAAAATCCTGGAGATTTCGGATTTTAATATTATGTTGGATTATATCGTTGTTGTTGTCTTTTAATAACTGCAATAATTGTTGGAGGATAGTATTGACTTGTTGTAGAAATAGCATGAGAGCTATGTTAATTGAAACCAATTCACTCATGCATTTTATTTAATCAATTGTTTCAGGCCTATGTATTTGAAAAGTTTTGTTTTGAGACAAATTGATGAATACCGTGGTAAATCTAGTTAGGGGTGTGGTTGTGGTTAATTATTGGCTTGACTGTTTATGGTGAAAGTCTAGAAATTCGCGTGGTCAGGTGTCGTTTCTTCCGATTAGTACCTGTAAAATGGCTTTTGGTAGTGTTTTTATAGCCTACTGACAGACACGTATCTAGAGATTCCTAGTGTGTGTATCTACTACCGTTTTCTACTTTTAATAGAAAGAACAATGAATTGTGATTTTGAACTCTAGCATTATCATTGTTTCAAAAAAGGGAAAAACACATGTTTTTCATATGCATTCACCCTATGGCATTATTAAGCATATGCATGTCATTAAGGTTATCTTTATTGGGCATTATACTCACCCTACGTGGAAAACAACTTTCAGATGTTGATGGTTTGCCTCTGCCAAGATGTTAACTTGGAAGGATTTAGAGCTGATTGCTTGTTATGTTATTCCATTTCTACATAGCCTTGGGCATACATGTATTGGACTTATGTTCCACTTTTGTTGTAACCAGGCAAGATCTTGGAATTTATAACCTTTAAGGCACTAATTTGTATTGATTTAGGTATTTTATTATCTCGTACGCATATATAAGATATTCATGCCTGGAATGTGATTACATGAATGTTCTATTATTGAATAATTAGAATTAATTATGTTTCCACATGTTTAACTTGTATTGATGAGTAGATCGATATCATTATTTTTGGGGCTTGACAAAAATATAGGTGAAATTTCACTGACTTTTTCTCTTTTAATTTCTAAATTCATACTTAAATTCATAATCCAAACATAATATTAAGAAATAAAAAATATTTGTCCTTACATATCAAAACCAAGAATAGGGGGAATCAAAGCACAATGGAGCAAAAAAAAAAATTATAAAAATATAGAAGGTGCAACTCATTCTGTGGTGGGGTGCACATCAAAAACTATGGGGAGCAACTCAAAGTTGTACCCCTCCATATTTGTGGTATTTTTTTTCCAACTTTCACTGAATAGTGATTTTCTGACCAGAATACTTGTCCAAACATAGTTTTATAAACATAGTCTTATGTACAACAATACTTCAAAATCACTAAATAACTTTTTTAAAACAAATTTTTATTTTTATTTTACTTCTAAAGCAAACAAAATGGTATACCAATTTAAATTTTACTCACTAAAATAGTGTTCTCATCAAAAACAAAACTTTAAACTCAAGAAACCCACTAGACGATATGAGATAATCTAAATAAGTACACTTTTTAACTTACAAAAAGATGTATAAAAAAATAAAAAGATGATACGACTTAAAAAAGGTAAAAAAAAAATAAAAAAGTATCCTTATATAGTACACCCAAAACATAGTCTTATCCTTTTTAATCTACCAAGTACTCGTATCCATGTGTCTCCATTTCTAGTCGTATACATGAATAGAGGTGACCAACACCAAATGCTGTAATCTATTGTGGGCCTGTTTGGTAGAACTGTGGGAAAGTGATTATAACTTATAACTTATAACTGTGAAAATAAGCTGTTAACTTGTTTGGTGCAGCTGTGAGATTTTAAATTTAAGCAGTAGAGTAGTGTTTGGTTGATAAGTTGTAAAATATCTTTTTACTGTATAATTGTCCTTTTTGCCCTTATATGATATAAAAATGATTATTTTGTCATTTTTTCAGTTTTAATTTTTTTTAAAAAATATTTCATTAATAAAAGTTAATATAATTAGTATTAGTTAGTATCAATTAATATAAAAATTGATACATTTGATAAAATGTAATGGTTGAAACAATTGTTTTCCATTATAAATTAATTAGTATCAATTAATACTAAAATTATTAATTAGTATCAATTAATATTAATAAGCAACAATTATTATTAATTAGTGTCAATTAATAATTAATTTATTGATAAATAATACCAATTAATATTGATACCAATATAAAAATTGTTGATTTTTTAAATTTATTAATTAGTATCAATTAACATTAATAATTACCAATATAAAAATTGTTGATTTTTTAAATTTATTAATTAGTATCAATTAACAATTTTGTTATCTATCTATCACATTTTTATTATATGTTCATTTTTATCTTCTAAATTTTGCCTGTTAAAATTTTGATTATAAAATTTACTTCTTCTGCTCGTTGTCCGTATGTCGCCGGTGGCAAAACAACGATAGCAAAACACGATGCAAATGACGGTGAAACAACGAACCAGAGACAAACAATGGTGGCGAAACAACGACAATGAAACAGATCAAGATTGCGATCACGATGGTTAGGGTTTTAGATCGCGATCGCAATGAGAAGTGAGTAAACATAAATCTATTCATGAAACAAATAGAGACAAATATTTACATAGATATATATATATATACATGATGCATGTGCGATTTTCGACAGTGAAGCAGATCGAGAAGCTAGGGTTTCACCGCCTTTGGTTCGTGCGAAAGAAAGAGAAAGAGAGAGAGAAGAGAGAGATCTGGTTCATTGGTTCGTGCGAGAGAGAGAGAGAGAGAAGAAGAGAGAAAGCTTTGGTTCACCTGAAATCACTCGAAAATTGCTGGAAATCTCCAAACACCTTCGTGCAAGAGACAAAAATGAGTGTGTTTTGGTTTATATATACGGTACACTTGTAATAACTTGAAATTGTGAGGGGCATTTAAGTCATTCTGCCTCTCAAATTGTAGTTGTCTGCTTAAGCTGATCCAAAAAGCTTCTCCTCTCCCACTCAAAGAAAAAGCTAATTTTTGGCTTACAAAAGGCTATAATCTATATTATTATGCTGAATCGAACACACCAAACTAGCCTAAATAAGCTAAAAGTTGAAATAAACTGAAAATAAACCCTACCAAACAGGGCTTGTGTCTCTTTCTACACCATAAATCAAACATGACAACAAATTATAGATAATTTTGGAGTACCATCTAATATAACTTACATGTTTATAAGTAAATAAAATATTTACGAATAAATAAATAAATAAGTAAAATATCTCAAAAACACATTTGCTGAATAATTCATTATTTTCTCAGGTACTTATGATGATGTATTAGTAGTACTTCACTCTTAATTTTTTTTACTATCTTATTGATTGAGAATATAATATCGATAATATCCTAACAAATCAATAATTTTAAATATATGTTAATACATAATAGAAATTTAGACTTCTGATATATTTATTTACTAATATATAATTTTAATTGATACGATCTGATATTGATAAATTTATGATTTTATTACTGATACCGATTTATAAAAGGGAGTTTTTTTGATAAATCCCCTTTCTAAATGTTTTGTTCCATCTTGTCCAAAACATTTTTGACTATTCCAATAAGTCTCATACCTAGCAATTTGTCCAAAACACCCCTACACATTTTTGAGCATTTATTTCCATTCAAAACGTCACAACACAAAAACATATGAGACAATCGCAAAATATACGACAAGGCTTTCAGAAAACCCTCATTTCCATACCAGTTCTCATCGTCTCATCATTTGAATCCTCCATCGTGATTCTCATCATCTTTGCATCCCACCGTTGTCACGTCGTTGTCAGCGATTGAAACCCTACTCCAAAGTGAAAAATCAACTCTGTGAAAGTTTGCATCGACCGACTAGATGCGGACCAAATGTAAGCGCCCATATTTTTCCCTCTTTTGTTTGTATAATCATCGAATGATTATTTGGTTCAATGTGAACTTTCGCATGTGTTGTTCATATTATTGTTGTTGTTTTTCCAATTTTTCAATGATTGTTGTTTTTGTTGGTGTTGATGTGAATTACCCATTTTGACCATTTATTTCTTTCTAGAAAACAGAGTAAGCTACCATATTTTTTCCTCTTTTGTTTGCATAATCATTGAATGATTATTTGGTTCAATGTGAACTTTCAAATGTGTTGTTCATATTATTGTTGTTGTTTTTCCAATTTTTCTGTGATTGTTGTTTTTGTTGGTGTTGATATGAATCACCCATTTTGACCATTTATTTCTTTCTAGAAAACAGAGTAAGCCACCATATTTTTTCCTCTTTTGTTTGTATAATCATCGAATGATGATTTGATTCAATGTGAACTTTTGCATGTGTTGTTCATATTATTGTTGTTATTTTTCCAATTTTTCTGTGATCGTTGTTTTTGTTGGCGTTGATGCCCAATTTTTTATGGTTGCCAACCCTATTTTAGTTCAATGTGAATTCTTGTAGGCATGTTGTAAATAATAACATCTTATTGTTTCTCTTATTATTGAGTAACAACCAATGTGAACATTCACATTCTGAGGGTAGCCATTTTATAAATTTACATTATGGTGTTTGTTTTATCTCCCCCCTTATGTCAATGTCGGACTTGTTGGTGTCGTTGGTTATTCATGGTGATCAAATAATTACAACCTTAATTTTGGATGGTTGTCAACCCTGTTTTAGTTCAATGTGAATTCTTGTAGGCATGTTGCAAATAATAACATCTTATCGTTTCTCTTGTTATTGAGTAACAATCAATGTGAACATTCACATTCTAATGCTAGTCATTTTATAAATTTACATTATGGTGATTGTTGTGCTGTTTGTTGATTATCTGCTTTATTCTTAGTTTCGTAGTCTCAAATGTTTGTGTGAATATTCACATTGTTCAATGTGTTTTTGTGCATATTGACACTATGCAAGTCAACTTGATTTTAACATAATGGTCTTGTCTTGCTGTAATTGTGACTCAATTAGAGTTTTATGAAGTTGTGACATTATTCACAATATGACTTATGTAAATGTTTGGTCATGGTCGCATGGGTTTGGTCAATGTGGTTATGGGAATATTGATGCTGAGATAATATGCAAATGTTTCCTTTATGTTTTGAAATTTTGTTCGTATCGATATGAGAAATCAACATATATTGGTGCTGTCTCACTCCTATTTGTACCCTAGAAATAATGTGAATATTCACATCTCTAATGATGTGAATGTTCACATTATTATGTTTGTCACCTAAATAGTACTTTGTTGTTTTTGCTTATATGAATATCGTTGAATGTGAATATCTACACTGACTAATGATGTACTAATGTCAATGTGCATGCCTACCCTACCAATTCTATTGAAATCAAATTCAATGTTCATATAAACACTCACTATTTGTGCATGCCTATGTAACAGATGTTGCATCTAAATTTTGCACAAAGAGGAAGAGGGAGAAGTATCATGTCAAAGAAGAAAGCATGCCTCTAGAGAGTAACACCCATATTGACCTGCGACATGTTAATTATCAATCAAACATTACAGGCTTAATAAAACTGATGACAAGCACCAAGTTCTGGGATCCTCAGCTGGACTATTTGAGGCAAACTCCGCTGTTTGATGGTTAGGGTTGTCTACCATAGACTAGCTATACCAAAATACAGTGCTAGTTTTTTTTTTGTTGGTAATTTTGATAACTTGTAGTTAAAAACACTTGACAACATATATATAAATCAATAAAATACTTCTCACAGATCTATGTGTTTTGATGGTATATTTGGTGTTGGTGTATTGTGTGTGCTAAACAATATAAACTGTGAACATTCACATCTGTTTTCTTATATTGTAGTTTGTGTGAATGTTCACATCGTAATTTATGTTCAATAAATGTGAATGTTCAAATTATGTCCTATGTTTACTGTAGTTGACTGCAGATGTTAATATTCACATTATACATTAATTAGGTGTGTGATCTATGCACAAATATATTAGAATTAATGTGAATCTTCACATCTATCTATTGCATTGTGAATATTCATATCATACTGTGGTTGACTACAGATGCTAATATTCATATTATACATTAATTAGGTGTATGACCCATGAACAAACATATCAGATGTTAGTATTCATATTTTACATATGTAAAGTGTATGATTCATCCACAAATATATCAACAAAAGAATATTGACTACACACAATGACAGTTGACCAAACAATGTTCTAACCAATATGAAGTGTGAACATCCATATCTGATCTCTTATGTTGCAGTTGGTGTCAATGTTCACATTGTAATTATGTTGAGGCTCATTTTCAATCACATTATGTTCTATGTTTATTATAGTTGATTACAGATGTAAATATTCACATTGTATTTACCAGTCAATATTATATTGGTGTGTGAATAATATTAACACCAATTGATAACACAATGACAAATTTTCAATTCAAATTAATATGAATATTAACACAGATTAATAATATGAACATTTACATTATTTTTATATAAGACACATTACCAATCTCAAAAAATCATTGCTACATTGAAATCCAATAACAAAAAATAAAAATCAATGACAATAACATAATCATAAATTCAAAAATCTCAATCTCTCAAAAAATAAAAAAAAAAATCACGCAAATCCTCCTTTGTATCTTCATAATTTTCATCTCCATCTTCATCATTATCACTATTATTAACACCTCTTACAATTCCACCATTACAGCAATCCAAATCAAACCAAACACTCCTCATCTCTTTACAAAGAAAGCTACATTACTGTATCAGAGACCTCATTCTTCACAATTCCAACACTTATTTCTTAAACTTCCGAACAATATGAAATGTGAACTTTCACATTGATTGACAGAAAAACCAAAAATAATGGCAGCAATAGAACCATAAATCCAAAAAAAAACCTTAATCTCTCTGAAAACAAAAAATTATCGCCCACATCTTTAGCATCAGCATTTCACTATCATTAACAACCCATGTAATTTCACCATTCCACCAATCCAGATCAAATTAAACCCACATTTGAAGAACAAGTATTCAAATCCATCTCATCTTTCCCTTTGATTCAATCTAGTTGAATGTGGGTTTTAGTCAATCTACTGAACAAGTTTGTAAGCCATTACCCCTGTTTCTTTCATTCAAATCCTTCTCTCTTCCTTTGATTTCTGGCTGAAATCATAGCTATGCAGGAAAAAAAAAAAAAACAAAGCATAAACTCTGAATTGTCATCTTCTCTCCTACAGGAATGAAACTGTATCGCAACGAAACACTACCACAAACTATGTGAAGTCGTCTTCTCTCTTATAGGAACGGAATCCTACCACAACAAAAATAGAGGGAAACACGTATATTATTTTGTATATAATATATATCAACATATAGACATAAGGGTATAATAGTCCAATAAAAAATATAAATCAGGAAAAAAGGACCTTATGGCATAAAAGGATAAACACATGGGACTAATTAGGTTATAATTTTTCTTTGTGGACTTATTGGGATAGAACACCTCTATATGGGATTTATCAATAAAAAACCCTTTATAAAACCGTCATACCACCACATGATATTGCGGGGTTTTTTCGAGAGATAAATCGATACATCTAACGCTCTACCATATAAATCAGGCCAATGTGAATATCATGATAACAACCATGGCTAAACACACACTAACAGAGATGATAAGCCTTTACCACCACCACAAAATCTTCCCAAACCAGTGTAGCTCAAGCCTGGTCCAAACCATAGACGCACCACTCCCTCTAGTCTGGTCCATGGTTCGATGCTTTGACAACCCACAAACCTACAAGCGGTTCATAAAGAGTTGCACCATTCAAGCCGGTGATGGAGGCACCGGAAGGGTACGTGAAATCAAGGTTATGTCAAGGTTACTTGCTCAATTGAGTATTGAGCGACTCGACAAGCTTGATGACGACAGGCATGCTATGATGGTCAACATTATCAGCGGTGATCATAGGCTTCTGAATTATAAATCAACCACAACCCTCCACATGGATGATCGAGAGAATGGCGATGGGAAGACCGTTGTGATAGAATCGTACGTTGTTGATGTGCTGGAGGGCAATAGTAAGGAAGATACATGTTTGTTTGCTGATACTATCATAAGGTGTAACCTTAAATCCTTGGCTAACATCAGCGAGAGGATGGCTTGCGAGTTGCAAGGCTAAAAAGTACTAATTGTGTGTTCAGGCCCTGCCCTGAGATTTCCAAAGCCCAAAGTTGATAATCAACTAATAAATATTATTAGATCATTTGGGGTTTCTTCATATTTTTTTTTTCATTGAACGAAAAAAAGAAATTGAAGGTAAAGAACAAAAGATTTTTGTCAAAATCACAAAAAATACTTAGTATTACATTACAATAACTAATAAGTGTCATTTAATCCTCGCTCTTCTTGCATTTTTAAAAACAAATAAATCAATCATACTTGGATAATCTAGTTTTTTTCAAAATCATTTTGAATGGGCCCTTTTAATTTTGAATGGACCCTTTTAATTTTTTGATGGATCAATTTATTTTAAGTTAGTTTGGACTTTCTTTAATTTTTTTTGAACTTAAAACATACTTAATATATTACACTAAACTATAATAGGAAAGGATCCCTTTTTTGAGTCTATTTTGAGGGGTCCTGAGCTATGACCTAGTGGGTCTATGCCCAAGGCTGGCTCGGCATGTGTTGTCCAAATTTTTTTATTATTTATTTTGTTTTTTTGTTTGGAGTCACTGCATAAATGCACGTAAACAATTGCTACATGTTTTGCATACAATGTGAAAGTATGGAAAATTATGAGATCATTCCTTGAATGTATTATACAATGGAAAATGTTTAAGATTTACAAAAAAAAATAAAAAATAAATAAAAAAAATCTCACAATTGTATCCATAATGATATGATATTGTGTATCAATTTTTAATTTATTATACATCTAATAATATAAAGTCGCACCCTCTTAACACATCATTGTGAGTGAATTTATGGGTTAAAAGTATGAGTCTGTAGCATTACTTATTATATAATGTTATGGATAGTTTTGAAATTGTCAAGAAAATGAAGGGTTTTCTTGAGTTTTATGGATCTTCCTGAACTATGAAGATAAAGACAGGAATTTTATGCCATATTGTCTTTTCTTTTTGGTGCATTACTTATTTTTGTTTTGTTATTTATTTGCTTTGATGTTTAAAATAAAATTAAAAAAAAAATTGATTAAACACTATTCTATAATATAGTATCACGATTGCATTGAATTATCATTATTATTATTTTTTTTCCTGAATAGTTGCACTTATAGGATAAGTAAGGCAATGGAAAGGATTTGGGACTTGAAGCCCTCGCAAAAATGTGATAATATGCACTTGGTCAGCCATTCAATAACTGCCACGTCAGTTATTGTGACCCCCACATCAATTCTTATTTCTCTCATCCTACCGCGATTTCTCTCCTCTGGCAACTTATTCCGGCCACCACTTCTAACAATTTATCCCATTACCACCGCTACCAAAATGTCAAACCACAAAAATTTCATATCCAAAATGTAAAAGTCAATTAAATCTTTCCAAAATGAATTTTTCAATTTTATAAATATCTCTTTGAAGGTTGTAAAATTTTATTAATAAAAAATGATCAACTCAATCAAATAATTTTGTCATTTTTTGCTTCATATTAAAATATTCATTTTTATGCAATGTATTTTTTAATTTTACAATTACTATTGTAAAACAAATATATAATTAAAATTACGTATTTCATATTATTACAAAACAAATGTGGATGAGAGGGGATTAATTATCTATCCCACTAATCAAGTTGGATAAATAATCTTACAATAATTTCATGGATTTTTAATCCCTCACTATTAATCCTAATCAAATAACGCTTAAGGTTCCGTTCGATTAGAAAGAAAGAAATGGTGAAAAATGAAGATGGTAGAAAGTGATGTGAAAGAAAAGAAATATTTTCTTGTATGAATTTGATTATGTTGAAAATTTTACAAAAAATATGAATTCTAATTATTATAGATTATACCTTAACAGATTATGGCTTATAAGTGTGAACATAAGTTGTTAATCTGTTTGGTGCAGCTGTAGGATTATGGATTTAAGCAACAGAATAGTGTTTGGTTAATAAACTTTTACTATGTAATTGTCATTTCTGCCCAAATATGATATAAAAATATTTTTTTTGTCATTTTTTTCAGTTTTAATTTTAAAAAAATTATTTCATTAATAAAAGTTAATATAATTAGTATTACAAAAATTATTATTTTCATTAATAGTTTCAATTAGTATAAAATTATTTCATTTTTTCATTACAAATTAATTAGTGTCAATTAATGGCTTAATTAGCATCAATTAATACCAAAATTATTTTATAAATCAATTAGTATAAAATTATTTCATTATAAATTAATTAGTGTCAATTAATGGCTTATTTTCATTTGTTCATTATAAATTATTATTTTCATTTTTTCATTATAAATCAATTAGTATAAATTATTTCATTATAAATTAATTAGTGGCAATTAATGGCTTTTTGTAATCAATTAATACTAAAATTATTAATTAGTATTAATTAATATAAAATTTATTTTAGTAATCGCTAAAATGCATAATTATTAATATTTTTTTATTAAAAAAAGTCGACATGGCAGAGCTAGGGTTTTGTCACGCCGACACCCCCTTCTTCTTCTTCTCCTCCTCCTCATTCTCATCTCACCACCGACAGCCCCTTGCAAAACCCTAGCCACAATCACGAAAAGAGAGAGTTGGGGTTTTGTCACACTGTCGATCGCGAAGAGGGAGAGAGAGCTAGGGTTTGTCATGCTGTTGATCGCGAAAAGAGAAAGAAAGAGAGAGAGCTAGGGTTTTGTCACGCGATCGTCACTGTCAAGCTATCTCGCGATGCCGAAGATCGCGAAGAGAGAGACAGAAAGAGAGCTAAGGCTTCACTACCTCTAGTTCGTACGAGAGAGAGAAAGAGAGAAAAGAGAGAGCTCTGGTTCACTAGTTCGTGCGAGAGAGAGAGAATAAGAGAAAGAGCTCTAGTTCGCAAGAAATCACCTCCCTTTCGCCAGAAATCGTCTCTCAAAGACGTGCGAGAGACAGAAATGAGTTGTGTTTGGTTTATCTACATGGCACACTTGTAATAACTTGAAATTGTGAGGGGCATTTAAGTCATTTTGCCCCTCAAATAGCAGCTACGCAGTTAAGCTGTTTGGAAAAGCTTCTCCTCTCCCACTCAAAGAAAAAGCTAATTTTTGGCTTACAAAAGGCTATAATCTATATTATTATGCTGAATCGAACACACCAAAATAGCCTAAATAAGCTAAAAGTTGAACTAAGCTGAAAATAAACCCTACCAAACAGGGCTTGTGTCTCTTTCTACACCATAAATCAAACATGACAACAAATTATAGATAATTTTGGAGTACCATCTAATATAACTTACATGTTTATAAGTAAATAAAATATTTACGAATAAATAAATAAATAAGTAAAATATCTCAAAAACACATTTGCTGAATAATTCATTATTTTCTCAGGTACTTATGATGATGTATTAGTAGTACTTCACTCTTAATTTTTTTTACTATCTTATTGATTGAGAATATAATATCGATAATATCCTAACAAATCAATAATTTTAAATATATGTTAATACATAATAGAAATTTAGACTTCTGATATATTTATTTACTAATATATAATTTTAATTGATACGATCTGATATTGATAAATTTATGATTTTATTACTGATACCGATTCATAAAAGGGAGCTCTTTTGATAAATCCCCTTTCTAAATGTTTTGTTCCATCTTGTCCAAAACGTTTTTGACTATTCCAATAAGTCCCATACCTAGCAATTTGTCCAAAACACCCCTACACATTTTTGAGCATTTATTTCCATTCAAAACGTCACAACACAAAAACATATGAGCAAATCGCAAAATATACGACAAGCCTTTTAGAAAACCCTCATTTCCATACCAGTTCTCATCGTCTCATCATTTGAATCCTCCATCGCGATTCTCATCATCTCTGCATCCCACCGTTGTCACGTCGTTGTCAGCGATTGAAACCCTACTCCAAAGTAAAAAATCAACTCTGTGAAAGTTTTCATCGACCGACTAGATGCGGACCAAATGTAAGCACCCATATTTTTTCCTCTTTTGTTTGTATAATCATCGAATGATTATTTGGTTCAATGTGAACTTTTGCATGTGTTGTTCATATTATTGTTGTTGTTTTTCCATTTTTTCAATGATTGCTGTTTTTGTTGGTGTTGATGTGAATCACCCATTTTGACCATTTCTTTCTTTCTAGAAAACAGAGTAAGCTACCATATTTTTTCCTCTTTTGTTTGCATAATCATTGAATGATTATTTGGTTCAATGTGAACTTTCACATGTGTTGTTCATATTATTGTTGTTGTTTTTCCAAATTTTCTGTGATTGTTGTTTTTGTTGGTGTTGATGTGAATCACCCATTTTGACCATTTATTTCTTTCCAGAAAACAGAGTAAGCCACCATATTTTTTCGTCTTTTGTTTGTATAATCATCGAATGATGATTTGATTCAATGTGAACTTTCGCATGTGTTGTTCATATTATTGTTGTTATTTTTCCAATTTTTCTGTGATTGTTGTTTTTGTTGGTGTTGATGCCCAGTTTTTTATGGTTGCCAACCCTATTTTAGTTCAATGTGAATTCTTGTAGGCATGTTGTAAATAATAACATCTTATTGTTTCTCTTATTATTGAGTAACAACCAATGTGAACATTCACATTCTGGGGGTAGCCATTTTATAAATTTACATTATGGAGTTTGTTGTATCTCCCCCCTTATGTCAATGTCGGACTTGTTGGTGTCGTTGGTTATTCATGATGATCAAATAATTACAACCTTAATTTTGGATGGTTGTCAACTCTGTTTTAGTTCAATGTGAATTCTTGTAGGCATGTTGCAAATAATAACATCTTATTGTTTCTCTTGTTATTGACTAACAATCAATGTGAACATTCACATTCTAATGCTAGCCATTTTATAAATTTACATTATGGTGATTGTTGTGCTGTTTGTTGATTATCTGCTTTATTCTCAGTTTCGTAGTTTCAAATGTTTGTGTGAATATTCACATTGTTCAATGTGTTTTTGTGCATATTGACACTATG